GCTTGATTGTGAACCGCAGTCATGAGATGCATGCGTGAACTGTTGTATATATCTGCTGCCATAAGGGCCCTTGAGTCATACAGAGTAGCTGTGCAGTTTGGCGAGAAGAGGAAGGCACCAATTCTGATTCAGTTCAAAGTTAGCTACCCTAAACCCTAAACCCTTAACCCTAAACCCTAAACCCTAAGCCCTAAACCCTAAACCCTAAACCCAAACCCTACTCTACTACTAGGGTAAGTGCTTCCCCTGGTGCTTTCACAAACTGCTGCAAGGCTGTGGATGGTGACTACGGCGCCTCAGCGAGCATTTCGAGATCCTGACTTCAAGAGCCTAAAGGGGGCCCTTATTTAGGGTTTAGGGTTTCGGGTGTAGGGTTTAGGGTTTAGGTTACTTGTTTCAGGAATGTACCAAGAATTATAGGGGCTGCAGTATGGTGGTTTCAGCTATATTCCTCTTTTAAGGACCCGATAGAAATTCATAGAACCTTTCCAATTTCTAAACCAAAACCCTAAAACCCTAGACCCTAAACCCTTAAACCATTAACCCCTAACCCTAAACCCAAAGCTGCACAAGGTGACTCACGTCATGTCTCGCTTGCACCAGGCAGCCACCTGTACTTCTCCAACGGCTGTGCCATCACAGACTGGCAGGCAGGGTTTAGGGTTTAGGATCTTGAGGTTCTCTAGGGTTTCAGGGTTTTGGGGGGTCGAAGGGTTTCAGGGTTGAGGGTTTAGGGTTTAGGGTTGAGGGTTCAGGAACCCGGGGCCCTAAACCCTAAACCCTAAACGCTGATTCCGTGGTGCAGGCCAACCCTTGGTGGAGCGTGGACCTGGAAGCCATCATTCCCATGGCAGTGGCCATGGCCCCGGAAGATCAGCAGATGAGGGCTGTTTAGGGGTGTCAAAGGGGTCTACAAGGGTTGTCATCCGGTCTTTTTAGGTTTTATAAGGGCTGTATGATGGCTTTAAAGGGGCTTATAAGGATGGATAGGGTGTTTAGGAGTCGAAGTTTACATCGAATTTTATGGGGTTTGCGTGGTTCTAGTTCTATTCTTTACAGGGTTGTATAGCGACTAGAGTGAGTATATTTTTTGGGATTTTGCAAAGCCTTCTGTACGGGTTAGCTCTAAGTTCTTTACATGGGAGGTCTGACTACTTCGCAACAGTATCCTCGCATAGCCCCTGTAAACTTATTAGAAGAATGCGCGTACATTAAACCCTGCTTTGTTGAAACCCCTTGCAAGAACCCTAAACCCCAAACCCTAAACCCTAAAGCCTTAACAGAACCAGAAAGAGCCCTAGGCCGCATCCTCAGAGCCTTATGTCTAAGGCTGAACCCATCCCCTAACATGGGCCCTTCCCTTAAGGGTATTTATAGGGTATATAGTAGGTAGATTAGGGTCCCAGGGTTAAGGGCCCATACTCGGGGCCCATGGGTTCTAATTTAGATGATACTTCGGGGCGCTGCAATGCTTGGGCCGCCAAGGTCCGCATCTACCCTCGCACGGACCCGGGGGGAGTTGTAGGGTTGAGGGTTTAGGGTTGAGGGTTTAGGGTTTAGGGTTGAGGGTTTAGGGTTCAGGGTTGAGGGTTGAGGGTTGAGGGTTTAGGGTTGAGGGTTTTGAGGGTTGAGGGTTGAGGGTTTTGAGGGTTTAGGGCTGAGGGTTTAGGGTTGAGGGTTTAGGGTTGAGGGTTTTGAGGTTTTGAGGTTTCGGGATTTCAGGCTTCTTTGGGGTATGGGGTTTCGAGTTTTGCTTCGCGCGAGGGGGGATCTAGGACATTTTCAGGTGGGTAGTTACCGGTATAGGAGCCTTATAGAAGGTCTATATACTTTATAGAAGGCTGATAGAAGCCCTATATACCCTAAACTCCCTTCCTTTAAATTCTAAAGTCAACCCTAAACCCTAAACCCTAAACCCTAAACCCTAAACCCTAAACCCTAAACTCCGCACCTGTAGTTTCCTTTAAGGGGACTGTGTCTACAGCCACAAACGTCGAGCCAGGACAATCGAGACTTCACCATGTGCTGGCCTGAGAGTGCTGTCAAGGCAGAAAAAGCCGGTTTAGGGTTTAGGCTTTAGGGTTTAGGGTTTAGGGTTTAGGCTTTAGGGTTTAGGGTTTAGGGTTTAGGGTTTAGGGCTGTCTGACCCTAAACCCTAAACCCTGCCCTAAACTCGAAGCCCTAGGTAAAGCCAAAGGTGCATCTGCTTCTCTTGCTTTCTCTCACACCCAAGCTCTGTGCCCCGTCAGCTGAAGGCCGTGCAGGCCAGCAGCAGCCGCTTTGTGTACGACAATGGTGAACCCTAAGATAGGGGCCTTACTAATTACCTTATACTATTGTGGGGGTTCCTTGTTATACTTATAGTATAGTATATACCTCAAAACCCTATTGAAAGTATTGAGGCCCCAGGCCCCTACATTATGCGCGTGTTTGCACCGAAAAAAGCTTTCAACTCAACACCCTAAACCAAGCATCCTAAAGCCAAAGACCTCAAGCTATGGCAGCCTAAGGCCCTACCCTCTCAACCCTAAACTCTAAACCCTAAACCCTAAACCCTAAACCCTACACCCTAAACCCTAAACCCTAAACCCTAAACCCTCAACCCTCAACCCTAAACTCTAATCCCCTCCCCTCAGCGCCATGCACCGAGGACCGGCATTCAGCTGAGGGCAGGCCTCCGCAACACCTGGGAGCAGAACCCGGCACGGGGCCTCGGCAAAGGGAGGTTCCTGTTGCGGGTTTAGGGTTTAGGGTTTTTAGGGTTTAGGGTTTTCGGTTTAGGGTTTAGGGTTTAGGGTTTAGGGTTTACGGTTTAGGGTTTAGGGCTTAGGGTCTTAAGTAAAGCCACCAAAGTCTGAAGGTCCTTTCTGATTCTTTCCATTTTTTGTAAGATGCCAGACTGCTTGCGCCGGGTATGCGTACATGCATACACATATATATATATATATACACATATATATATATATATATATATGCACGGTTGTATGTATGTATGTATGTATGTATGTATGTATGTATGTATGTATGTATGAATGGATGCATGTATGTATGCATGTATGCATGTAATGTATGCATGTCTGTATGTAAGTACGTGTGTCTGTGTATCTGTATTATATCTGTATGTCTATGTGTATAACTGGCATGTATGCCCTGATGTCAGAGACTGGGGGTCTCCAGAGCTCCAGGGTCTGCAAGGCTTTGGCAGCGGAAATCTGAAATGGCGCCGACTTTGGATTTCAAGCGTACGGTTCAGGGTCAGAGCTTAAGGTTTAGGGCTTAGGGCTTAGGCAGTACAGTAGGGTTTATGAGGTTCAGGGTAGGGTTGCTAGACAAGGACTCTCTACCCCACCAAGGCACCTAAACTTTTTTTGGGGCCTGCTTAGGGGGTGTATGGATGGCATTTAGGGCAGGGGGTCTCGGGATTCCGAGCTCTTCGCTGGATACTTAGACTATGTTGGGACGGTTTAGGGTTTAGGGTTTAGGGCTTTGGGTTTAGGGTTTAGGGTTTAGGGTTTAGGGTTTAGGATAAACTCCGAACTCCACTCGGAACCTGGTCTCCAAAACTCCGAACATCTTTGAACCAAGTCTAGAGGCCTAGAAAGCTGTGTCCTAAGCCTCAACACCTTGTTCAGGGAGCACACGTAAGGCTCATAATCCTCATGTCCGTAATTACAGCTCTACAGTAACCCTAAACCCTTATCGCCTTGATCCTTATTCTAACCATAAAGGCCCCTTCTCAGATCTACCCACAGGTCCCATCGTAGTTCCTTCTTGGGACTACCTAATAAGATCCTAAATATAAGCCACCAAAAAAGGAACTCCTCTGGGGCCTATGGGTAACCCAAACCTCCCCCAGGCAATTGCCCAAGCCTCCATGCCGGGCCCTAAACCCTAGACCCTAAACCCTAAACCCTAAACCCTAAACCCTAAACCCTAAACCCTAAACCCCTAAACCCCTAAACCTAAACCCAAACCTCCCCAGGCAATTGCCCAAACCTCCATGCCCGGAGCAGCATCGAGGATGGCTTTCACCTGGCTCGGAAAACCCTAAACCCCTAAACCCTAAACCCCTAAACCCTAACCCCTAAACCCTAAACCTCTAAACCCTAAACCCTAAACCCCTAAACCCTAAACCCTAAACCCGGAAGGGGGTCATCCCAGACACTTCACTCTTTAAGGAGCCTAGACCCTCTAAGGACCCGCCCTAAACCCCCAAACCCTGAAAGGACCCTAAACCCCTTAAGGACCCACCCCAAACCCTAAACCCTAAAAGGACCCCAAACCCTTCAAGGAGCCCAAACCCTGAACTCTAAAAGGACCCTAGACACTTCAAGGACCCTGGAAGGAGCCTAAACCTGTTGAGGACCCACCCTAAACCCTAAATCCTACAAGGACCTTAAATCCCAAAAAGGACAAAATTAAGGACCCACCCTAAACCCTAAAAGGACCCTATACACCCTCTAAGGATCCTAAACCCTGAACCCTAAACCCCTAAAAGGACCCTAAACACCCTTTAAGGACCCAGCCTATTTTTTTAAAAGACCCTATACACCCTCCAAGGAGCCTAAACCCCGAACTCTAAACCCAAAAAGGACCCCAAACACCCTCAAAGGAGCCTACACCCTGAACCCTTGACTCTAAAAGGACCCTATACACCCTCAAAGAAGCCTAAACCCTAAACCCTAAACCCCTGAACCCTAAACCCTAAACCCCTGAACCCTAAACCCCTGAACCCTAAACCCCTGAGCCCTAAACCCTGAACCCTATTCCCTAAACCCTAAACCCCTGAACCCTAAACCCTAAACCCTGAACCCTGAACCCTAAACCCTAAACCCTAAACCCTGAACCCTGAACCCTAAACTCTGAACCCCTGAACCCTATACACCCTTTAAGGACCCACCCTATACACCCTCTAAGGAGCCTAAACCCTGAACCCTTACTGCTGGGCCTGCTGTGTTCGCTCAGTGGGGGTGCCGGAGAACCTGAGGAGCTGGGACTTAGGGTTTAGGGCTTAGGGTGTAGGCTTCCGGTTTAGAGTTTCGGGTGTAGGTTCCGGTTTAGTGTTCCGGTGTAGAGTTTCGGGTGTAGGGTTCCGGTTTAGGGTTCCGGTGTAGAGTTTCGGGTTTTAGGGTTCCGGTTTAGGGTTCCGGTGTAGAGTTCCGGTGCTTAGGGTTCCGGTTTTAAGCTTAGGATAAGAGCTTAGGGTCTAGGGCTCCGGTTTAGAGCTCAGGATTTAGGGTTTGGGGTTCAGGGCTCCGGTTCAGGGTTTAGAGTTCAGGGTGTTGGGTTTTGAGCTCAGGATTCCGGATCTGGGGTGACGGGTTCCTTAAAGGATTCCTTGAAGGGCTCCTTAGAAGGGGTTTAGGGTTTAGGGTT